AAAAAAAAAAAAAAAAAGAACAATAGTAATTGTAAAAACTTTCTCTGCGAATACCCTCATAGTGCACTAAAAACTCTTTTATACAAACGACAATATTGTAACACTATATTTAAAATATTTTTCTCATCTTACACGCAATATTAATGTCAATTTTCTGAGACAAAATAGAACCGACGTCGTTTTTTGCTATGCATTGGTAAGTGCCGACGTCACCTTGTTTGGTATTCAACATACGATAAGTTTGGTCGGTTGAAAATTCTCCAAGCTCTTTACCATCTTTCAGCCATTTGTAAACGGGAGCCGGATAACCTATAACAAACAATTAATATTGTTATCTCGCATTTAAAAACAGTCATACTTGCTGCATAGTAATGCTATAGTTATTAACTTTATTGCTGTCATTATGTTTTAATATTATTCTTGACGACGTTGCACAATAAAAACTTAGTGGGCGTTAGTCGCCACCGAGGTGTTCTTTATTATGTGCATACTAATTCAATTAAAATATAAGATGCTTTAGGTATACTGAAACTATTTCTAGTCTAAAAGTCATTAAATAAATATAAAAACTCGCACAAAATAATGCGGAGTTAGGTTCGTGTTTTCATAATTAAACGCCAAGAGTTCTGCAAGTTCCTGTATTATCATATTATTTATCTAATATACACCAAGTATGTAATTGTTAATTTGCATACATAGTAAGAAGTTGATTAATGATTAATGATACCATATTAAAATCCATTTAGTATTATTTGCTTAGATGACATTTGATATTACAAGTTTCACTGCTCTAGTACACTACGTAATACACAAAACAATGATTATAAATAATGACGGCTTGGGAGCATGAAATATAGCAATAAAACGTACTGTTAGCACTGGAATTAGGATTGGTTCCGGAGTCACGCTTGAAAAATATGGTAGACATTATGGACAATGATCGTATTTCAGTTTTGATACGGTTTTTAAATAGAATTTTTGAAGAGAAAAATTGCGATTCCATCGGTAGTACTGACAAGAAAACAGATTTAAAGACATTAAAATGGGCAGAATTAGCGTGACGTTTAAATTGGTTAAGAAATTATACCAGAAATGTGTAAAATATTGATAAAAATGATTTATATATCATTATGATTGATGAAATTTCAGCAGTTAGAAGGCTAGATATTTTTCGGATATACTGTACAAAAATATTCGATTACACTTATAGTAATATTATCATACTGTATTATGTTACATTATATTACTATTTGTATAGAATAAGTCGAAAATTATTTCACATTTTTTATTAAACTATAATTTTAGAACAAAATTTCTCATTTTTGACTGACTCTTACGAACATGTTTAACTCGTCGCATTACAGTATATTATTTTAAAATATAATTCTATCATTCATAATATTAATTATATTAAAAGTATATTAATGTTTCCGCTAACTTATTCGAGACTACTTAGGAAATAGATATTATAGTTTTTTTTTTTTGTTAAAATATTATTATTATTATTATTATGTGTGCATAATTATGCAAACCATAGAAAATGTAAGACAAGTATAAATTTATTAAAACATCAAAACTGAATCAATTAAATTCAACACGAAAATTAAAAAAAATAAAACTCAAATTAACTCTAAATAGATGGCCCAATAAACAACATGCATGATTCCACTCCAATAAATAAATCGTTCATCTAATAATTAATTACCAGTATTAACAGAGTAGTAAACACTAAAAAAATAATACATATTTCAGTAATTAAAAAAAACACACACACACACACATATAAATTATATATGAAGAACTCGATACAATAAACAGGTAAGTATAGTTATAAAAATATTTCATTAAAAGCAATAATAAAATGTTTTTTTTTTTTGATAAAATATCTTCATAAATAATAGGGATATAGAATTTGTTTTTGTTCTGAATTACACAAAAGAAAAAATGATATTTATTCAAAATTAACAAAAATAATATTTTTTAAAAATGTTTAACTTGTCTGGTCTTTACGCTGACCTTTATTACAGTACTATTGATCCGCTTTTATATGAAATGTTAAAAAATATCATTACAACAAAGAAAATAATGATGAATCAGAAGTGATCTTACAGCATACCGTTAATATTACTCATCAAATAATTTCAACTACTAATACTTTTTCTTGGAAAGAAAAATGAGGGTTTGAGAACAAGTACACATAGCTTTTATCTATCAAAGTAGAAAGTATTGCACGCTTTTATTAAAAAACTAGATTAATTTTAAATTTATTATGTAACATTTTAAGTATGCGTTTAAGTTCATGACTACGGTTTATTCGTCGTTGCATCCATTTAGATTTCGAATAAAAAGTAAAATAGTTACTGTTGGAAAGTAGATTTTAGTATACATGAATCTAATGTAAGAATTTCAATAAAATTGATTACATAATAAGTAGAACACATACATATTGTATTTTCTTTTTAGACATCCAGAATAATTATAATCACAACGTAACAAATTTATTACATTATCATAAACATTGATGATATCACTGGCAAACGAGATTCCAATTAAGGCCAAAAAATAATAATTTCATGGTCGATTTTTGATTAGGACACGCTCGAAACAATTACAGTTGATATTTGTCTTTGTTAGCTAAACTTTTTCATATGTAACAGGAGCAGGTACTAAGGTCTATTACGTACGCATTGAAAATACTACAAAGTAGTAGCCTACGCGTAGATATCTATATAGAAGAGTAATAACCTGAAGTGAGTCTAATATTGTTCAAGGTTAAAAAGATACCCTATCGAGCATACAAACTGGGTTGCTGAACAGAGAGCGAGGAGACAAAGACGGCGAACACCGCGGGCATCTTCCTCTTTACTTCTAAGAATGCAACGAGACGAGTTTTCATTACATAGTTTTTTTTTTCACACTTGCCCGTCCACAGTAGTACTTGGAAGCTATACATCAATTGCATACATCATCTGTAATAGTAGCAACATGAAATAGCTAAAAATTATATGAATTTTCCTTAGAAACAGAAAGCGGAACACAAGTGTTACGTTAATATACAATCCTAATTATGATAAGTATTACTATTTTTTTATTTAAATTTACTGTAATTTCGTTTTATCCCATTTCAACTATGACCCGNCACACTTGCCCGTCCACAGTAGTACTTGGAAGCTATTCATCAATTGCATACATCATCTGTAATAGTAGCAACATGAAATAGCTAAAAATTATATAAATTTTCCTTAGAAACAGAAAGCGGAACACAAGTGTTACGTTAATACACAATCCTAATTATGATAAGTATTACTATTTTTTTATTTAAATTTACTGTAATTTCGTTTTATCCCATTTCAACTATGACCCGCGATTACTAATACAACCATAAAATACTAAACAACGGATAAAGAATAATAAAATAACAGTCAGTCGCATTTGTCAATGAAATGGATACTCACCAGGAGTAGGTACCATCATTATTTACTCATTTAAAAAAAGACACGAATGCCTACTAGTTATTATTCTCCCACGAAAACACGTTCCTTATAAATCTGAAACGTGATTGAGATCATTATCCATTTCTATATTTACTAAATTAACATTGNCATCATTATTTACTCATTTAAAAAAGACACGAATGCCTACTAGTTATTTTTCTCCCACGAAAACACGTTCCTTATAAATCTGAAACGTGATTGAGATCATTATCCATTTCTATATTTACTAAATTAACATTGATATCAAGAAAAAGCGTAAAAGTATTTACACCGATAAAATGTGAAATATTTTGAGAGAATATTTTATCTGGTAGAACTTGATAAAGTATAATAATAATAATATTTTTTGCTCAGTACTCCGATTTAATTCGTAGAAAAAATCTCACTGAGATTTAATTATATTCACTGGATATACGAAAAATGGAATGCAAATTTTCCACATTCCGGCGTAGCAAAAGACGACGGCTGGCAACCTTGTTCACCTAATATAAAAAGTGTAATGAACATAAACGTTATTATGTATTCATAGAACGTTTGAAAATTAGTTATTACAGTTTGTAACGAGGAGTTCATTGTCTTTACACTATTTGGCGATGGATATTATTTGGTATTATTATACTTTATGCGTCCGGTCATCAAATGTACAAAAAATTCTCATGCAACGGGCACAATTTAATTGTCGACGATTGAATCCCACGCCGCCGTAAAAATACCATGTACTACAATTAACCTACCCGATAATAACATATAATAGTGGCGCATTAAAACCATTGTATCCGACATGTGATGTGTTTTTATTTTATTAAAAAACTATTTCCAACACTTATGCGGGACACGATAATGACTAAAAACACGACGGAATATGTTTTAGACATGTGCATATGCGTATACCTATAAAAATCAATCGATACACATGTAGTTATTATTGTACGCACAGCGCGTGGTAAACGCTTTTTAACCACATGAAACGGCCGACATCGTAACAAACCACACAGCACTAGGGTCTCTCCGAGTCCTACTATCGGACGAAATGAAGATAGCTGCACGTTCTGAGGGAGTGTAATGCACTAAAATTGAGCATGCTAAGATAATTTTTTTTTGAGTGAATGCTACGAGTGATTATTGTTTTTGATAATATTACACGACGAATGACATCTTCATAACGATCATTTTTACTCTTAATATTATTCTTTTACGTTTTACACGTTGTGGAATAGCGAACGCGCATATTAGTCGTCACAGTAACGATGACTTTTTTCGTTACGATTGTCACAAATCACAATAAGCTACCGTTCGCCATACTACAGAGTAAACAATACAATTATAAATTCAGCGAAATTTCACGGTGGATTGTGAGTTAACGCTGCTTTACCGGCATTTACAACATGTGCCTATACACGATGCACATCGAATTGGTCGCGATAGCACGAGTATTGTTGCTGAGAAGAAAATAAAATAACCAAATGTATAAAAAAACCTACGAGATGGGTGATGTGATTGTTTTTGTTGTTAATTGATGATGCACTCGAGAGTCTCTGATAGACGTTGAAGATAAACAAAAATATATGTGACAAATAAAGTCAAGCCAGAAACGCCTAATAATTATTATTTAACGTAGTGTTTGACAGTTTACATGTAGCCGTTTTGAGAAACCCGATCCTTAGGGCAATGTGTTTTCTGAAGAACGTTGCCAACATACGCAAGGGAATACATCAACTGCGGTGAGCACGGCAGGAAATACCGCAATGGGTATCGGGTGAGAAAATAAAAGACATGTGCTGACGGTATTTTTTTCCAAGAGGGGCCTCCATTCTG